AACAGATGATTGGGACAGGCGATGCATCATGAATATATTAGAAGATTTCTACAAGCCAGAAGTTCTAACTGAGGATTTTGCTTATTCCGAGTCAGGGATCTACAGACAGATCAGCACCACATATGATCTTAATGTAAGTACTCAGCTCGTAAACCCACATGTTCTCCTAGCCTCACAAGCACAGAGCAGAATGCTAAATAGAACCTGGAGACTCCAAATGTGAGATCATCTTCTGGAAGAATGTGATATTGTCCGAGTGAATTAGCAGAAAGTACAAGGTAATAAAAGCCTGCAAATCCACTTTTATCTGACTCTGTACCTGCATCTCACAGCAAGAGAATCAATGTAGATTGTAAGCTCTGTGAGGCAGGGCTGTCTTTGTCTGTGTTTGTTCAGCACCTAGCACATTGGGCTCCTAGGCACTACCATAATACAAATAATAATGATGTAAAAGTATGTCCAGCTGCACAATAAAAGACTTTCTACTGAGGACTTCTGGTGGCAATAGAAGCGACATGAGTGATTCTGCAGTAGCTTGTAACTATTGTCAGAATCCCCAAAGTAAGACTCTACCCTTATACAGTGGTGAGCTGGAGCCGGTTCACACCGGTTCGCGTGAACCGGTTGTTAAATTTAGAAGCCAGTTTAGAACCGGTTGTTAAAGGGGTGGGTAAACTATGTGGCCCGCGGGACCGTCCTGTCCAGCCCGCCTGAGCTCTCGGCTGGGGAGGCTCCCCTGGCCCCTCCCCCGCCTTCCCCCCTCTCGCAGAGCCTCAGGGTGCCTCCTGCCAATTTGAGCGGCATGGTAAGGGGGTGGGGCTGCGAGCTCCAGCGGGCCGCGTGGCATCCATACACGCTGCCCTGAGCAGCATAGTAAGGGGGCTGGGCTGGGGTTGGAAGGAGGGGTTGGATAAGGGGCAGGGAGTGGTTGGAGGGGGTGGAGATTCTGGGGGGGCAGTCAGGGGACGGGGAACGGGGGGGTTGGGTAGGTGTGGGAGTTCCGGGGGTCTGTCGGGATGGTGGTGGATGGGGGTCGGGGCAGTCAGGGGACAGGGAGTGGGGCGAGCTGGGTAGGTGGTAGGGTCCTGGGGAGCAGTTAGGGGTGAGGGTCTCGGGAAGAGGTGGTCAGGGGACAAGGAGCGGGGGGGGGTTGATGGGTTGCGGGTTCTGAGGGGGGCAGTCGGGGGCAGGATGTGGGTTGAGGTCAGATGTGGGGGACAGGCACGTGGGGCTTGTACTCACCGGGCAGTTTCCTACTGGGTCTTCGGCGGCACTGAAAGACCCGCCGCCGAAGTGCCACCAAAAACCCAGAGCAAGTAAAGACACACACACACACCCCCCCCACTGCCGCCGAAGTGCCGCTGAGAACCCGGTAGGGAACCAGTTATTAGGATTTTGGGAGCTCATCACTGCCCTTATAATATGTAGTTTGAGTATAGATTATTATCTAGACTAATACCACCCGAAGTGGACACAGAGTGGAACCCTTACCAGCATTAGCCTACAGCTTTTGACACTTGCTTGTCTATCTTGATGAGTGTACGCAGTGGTGGTGTAGCTGCGTCAGTCCCAGGATATTAGAGAGACAAGGTGAGTTAAGTAATATCTTTATTGGACCCACTTCTTTTGGGGAGAGAGACAGAGCTCTGCATGGCTCGAAAGCTGGTCTCTCTCCCCAACAGAAGTTGGTCCAATAAAAGATACACTCATTAAAGAGACAAGGTGGGTGAGGTATGTGCTGCTTCTCCAGATCGCTGCGCTCACATACCTTCTCCTTTAGTGCAGAGCCGAGCTCCACCCCACATATGGCATTCTCCTCAGCTTCTCTCCCAGGTCAGCCCTTCATCACTCTTGTTACCATTCTCTGACTCCTCTCCCGTCCCCTTTCTGGTGCTAGGGCATCCCAAACTAGCCACGTCTGACAACATTCTGTTGGTGCATCACCATGTAAGATACGAGGCTGTATAAAAGCTAGAAAGTCCAAAGGCATGTGTCATATTCCTCTCCTCTTTCAAACTCTGCTGGGTCAATAACCATCAGAATATAGCCATGCTGTTTCTCCCTCCTCCCTCCCAATGCACACTCCTCACCTCAAATCTTGTGGCTGATTTCACTCTAGGGATACATCCAATACATCAAGAGTCTGCCACTCAATGACAACCCGGAGATATTCAGCTTACATGACAATGCCAACATCACCTTTGCTCAGAACGAGACCTTTGCCCTGCTCGGGGCCATCATTCAGCTGCAGCCAAAGACGTCCACCTCAGGAGGCCGCGGCAGGGAGGAGGTGTGTAGCCAGGGTCGCTGGGCTTGCCATGCGCTCAGTGTAACATACGCTGCTCTGTGGTTTGAATTGCTATGTGGGACAGAGAAAGGTAAAGCCCGCCCTCCACTGGTTACTGCTGCCTACTACAGCCATATTCCCTCTAGCTAGATTTTACAAGGCAAGCAGGATCAGGTCTAGTCAGTCCTTGGAGGGAAGGTCCTTCGCTCCTGCTCCCCAAGGAAAACCCAGGAGCTACAAGACATGCTATTAGTGAGTCAGTAGCTGGCACTCTTCTCCCTGACTCAGGACTGAAGGTAGGGTGCTCTGCAACTGGACGTAGCATTCAGAGACTATAAAATAGTGTCCTGACCCCTTCTGCTCATTAAAAACCACACGGCATTTTGTGCAGGGGCATTAGCCTTTGTGTCCTGGTCTGGGGATGTGTAACTCCCTTGGTAGTTTCCAAAGGATAGTGTTCTTCACATCCTGACTGGAACAGTTGTTCAGCATTGCTGAGCACTGCTAAAGCTTTGTTGCCTCCCATTCCTAAAGACATGGGGGAGGCTTTCCTATTCTGGGATCATGTAGGCATTGTGTACGTGGAGCGAAAGCAGCTCTGGGATGGTGGGAAGTGTTGATTATAGGGATGGAATGTAGTTCCCTTCCCATTACACCCTTATTGGGAATGAGATTCCCTAAAAGATCTGGCAGGAAGCTGGGCAGTCGTGTAACAGCTGATTTTGAGTTAGGGCTTCCAGTGGGGTTAGTGCACTGTATTTCAACAAGAAAATGTCCTCTCCTACACACAGCTGTGATATCAATTCAGCTGGGTGAGTCTGTGCCACCTCCTGGTGGATGAGAGAACAACATAATAAAAGGCGCTAAATACATAGGCCCAGATCCTCAAAGGTATGTATGTAATGTGATGGGGCAAGGCCAGATGGCTACAGTAAAGTAGTGAGGAACAGGTATGTTAGCCCCAGGCTAAACAAATCCCTGGTACCGTGGTAACCAAATGGCAGTTGCTCCAGGTTGATCAAGACATCTGGGGCCAATTAAGATCCTTCTAGAAGGCAGTGGAGATAGCTAGATTGATTGGGACACCTGAAGCCAATCAAGGACTGGCTGGAACTAGTTAAAAGCCTCCCAGTTAGTCAGTGAGGTGTGGGTGTCAGGAGCTATAGGAGGGAGCTGTGCTGTTGGAGGAACGAAGCAGTACAAATCTATATCAGGTGCAAGGAAGGAGGCCCTGAGGTAATTGTGAAGAAGATATTGAGTGGGGGCTGCTGTGGGGAAGTGGCCCAGGGAATTGTACATGTCCTATTTCCAAAAAGTCAGCTTCCATAGCTGCTAATTTTAAGGTCCCTGGGCTGGAGCCTGGAGTAGAGGGCGGGCCTGGGCTCCCCCCTCCCCTCCCTGATTAATCACTGATACTGGGAGACAACAGAGACTTGCGAGGGAGGGTTGCTTCTCCTCACATCCCTTGCTGGCTTATGGTGAAAATGGCTCAGTAGACTGTGACCCTTGCCTCTAGAGAGAGAAGGGCTATGCGGAGGGTCACAGTGAGCCTCTGAGGCTAGCAAAATCCGTCAGGAAACACAGGACCCACGGAGTCAAGGACAGAACTTAGTCACAGTCCTAGCTCTAGACCTGAGGAAGAGCTCTGTGTAGCTTGAAAACTTGTCTCTCTCACCAACAGAAGCTGGTCCCATAAAAGATATTCCCTCCCCCATCTCAAGTTGCTCAGTGTCTCAAGCCACTCTTGGCAGCCATCCTTTCCTTTGCATGTGGTCTATCACCACAAATACTTTGACTTAATTTCCCCAGCAAGCCTGTCCATTGAAGGAATCCTCAAGGAATCCCCTCAAGGATGACCTTTAGAGAGTATCAGGGAGAGGCCTTTACTTTGCAACTCAAGAATTCCCACCTCAGGGAGCATTTTTTGGAGGAAATAACCAGCAGCAAAGTTACTGCTAACCCCATGTGTAAGTCTGGCCCCGGGGAACAGAAGCGATTCATTTCCCCTTTGACCTTGGTCAGGCTCGTTCCTTCTGCTGACAAGTTAAGAAGGCCTCTGAAGTTCTCTACCCAGAAGCCATTTCCAGAGCAGCTTCTCATGCCTTGTTCCATCTGCTTTCTAGCTTGTAGAGGAGACATCAAAGGACATCTTGAAGAAGGTCCCTGACCCCATTAACTTGCAGGAGGTGATGCTGAAATACCCGGTGCTGTACGAGGAGTCCATGAACACAGTGCTGGTGCAGGAGGTGATCAGGTAAAGCTCTTACTCACACCCAGCCTTCCAGTCTGCAGGTACACACCTCCTCTACAGAACCACTAGGGGAACTGGCATGTGAGTTTCTGCCCCCAGTGGGAAAGGATATGGCTACGCAGGCTCTCAGAGCAGCCATTCCTGGAGAGGGGAAAACAGCAACTTAGCCCCTTTTCAGATGGTCCTTGTGGAAGGTACCAAGTGCCTTTTGCACCACATGTGGTGAGACTGGAGTTCCAGTGTTGATTAGGTTCAGATGTTGCCTTAGTGACAACAGATAGGGCCTACAGCCTTAAAATCCCACCTGTCCTGCAGTGATCGAGTGTCTTTTCAATACAGGAACTCCAGGTTATTCAGTGGAATTCATCCTGCAGTTGAAGTTTGAAGGTTCAAAGACATAAAAGAACCACTTAGACAAGAGGTGTCATTTATCAGAGAGAACTTACTACAAGTTCCCATTGTTAGCTGAGCATTCTGGTAGGGTCAGAGTTTAGAGACATTTTCCATGCTCTTCAAAAGTCTCTCTGGGTTGGGCCTGCAGGCCAGAAGGCCACACTCCAGTAGGGCTAAAGTCGCGCAGCACATCAGAAGGGCGTTGTTTTTACGCATTGATGGTGATGGTCTCATTCCTCAGCATTGGAAGACCTCAGCCAGTGTTCATAAATCACAGCCTTGGATTGCTCTGCTCCTTCCCCAGAACTCCTATCTTACTCTTTGTTGCTCAGGTACAATCGGCTGCTGGAAGTAATTGCACAGACACTGCAGGATTTGCTGAAAGCTCTCAAGGGCCTGGTGGTGATGTCGTCCCAGTTGGAGCTCATGGCCAACAGCCTGTTCAACAATATCGTTCCAGAGCTCTGGAATGCCAAGGTATGCATCCACCTGCCTGTTCAGGAGCATTGGCTCATCAGGTTTTGAACATCGCCTGCATGGTCCTTCCTTCATGGTGAAGCAGCTCAGGACTTGAACAAAGGAGACTTAAGAGCTGGCACAGGGGTCAATGAAACTAGAACTTCCCCATTAGAAGGGTTCTGATCCTGATCCTGTTACATACTGAAATGAATTAGTGGGTCTTATGCTAGTCTCCAGTGGGCTCTGATCCACACCAAAAAAAACACCCCACAGTATGACATGCATACCTTGGGCTGAAAATGCAGGCATGTTGCAGGTCAAGATTGAGGTGCACAAGCAGAGCTTTACAAATAGGTTTGCAAGTCTTACCGCCCTCTTAGTCCAGCTTAGGCATTTGCAGCTATTTCTCTACTAAGTCCCACATTTACCTCTTAAGAACATAAGAACGGCCATACCGGGCCAGACCAAAGGTCCATCTAGCCCAGTATCCTTCCGACAGTGGATAATGCCAGGTGCCCCAGCGGGAATGACCAGAACAGGTAATCATCAAGTGATCCATCCCGTCGCTCATTCCCAGCTTCTGGCAAACAGAGGCTAGGGACACCATCCCTGCCCATCCTGGCTAATAGCCATTGATGGACCTATACTCCATGAACTCATCTAGTTCTTTTTTGAACCTTGCTATAGTCTTGGCCTTCACAACATCATCTGGCAAAGAGTTCCACAGGTTTACTGTGTGTTGTGTGAAGAAATATTTCCTTTTGTTTGTTTTAAACCTGCTGCCTATTAATTTCATTTGGTGGCCCCTAGTTCTTGTCTTATGAAAAGGAGTAAATACACTTCCTTATTTACTTTCTCCACACCAGTCATGCTTTTATAGACCTCAATCATATCCCCCCTTAGTTGTCTCTTTTCCAAGCTGAAAAGTCCCAGGCTTATCTCTCCTCACAGAAGCTGTTCCATACCCCTAATCATTTTTGTTCCTCTTTTTTTGAACCTTTTCCAGTTCCAATATGTTTTTGAGATGGGGCGACCACATCTGCACGCAGTAGTCAAGATGTGGGCGTACCATTGATTTATATAGAGGCAATATGATATTTTCTGTCATATTATCTATCCCTTTATTAATGATTCCCAACATTCGGTTCACTTTTTTGACTGCTCCTGCACATTGAGTGGATGTTTTCAGAGAACTATCCACAATGACTCCAAGATTTCTTTTTTGAGTAGTAACAGCTCATTTAGACCCCATCATTTTTTATGTATAGTTGGGATTATGTTGTCCAATGTGCATTACTTTGCATTTATCAACATTGAATTTCATCTGCCGTTTTGTTGCCTAGTCACACAGTTTTTTGGGATCCCTTTGTAGCTCTTCACAGTCTGCTTGGGACTTAACTATCTTGAGTAGTTTTGTATCATCTGCAAATTGTGTCACCTCACTGTTTACCCCTTTTTCCAGATCATTAATGAATATGTTGAGTAGTACTGGTCCCAGTACAGACCCCTGGGGACGTATTTACTTCTCTCAATTCTGAAAATTTACCATTTCCTATCGCTTAACCAGTTACTGATCCATGAGAGGACCTTCTCTCTTATCCCATGACTGCTTACTTTGCTTAAGAGCCTTTGGTGAGGGACCTTCTCAAAGGCAAATGTTCTGCCATGTTTTGAAAAGCAGCAGGACTCTTTTATCTTGTGGTTCCCTATGGAAAGAACCCAAATCACCCAGAACCTTGACACATGCCCATTCTTCAGCACCTTGGCATTACTTATTATACCTGCCTGGAATTGGCTCAGCCCATCGGAGGGCAGGGATGCTCCCTAAATATCCATGCACAGTGGCAGTTACTCAGATATGCAATTCCCAGCTGGGACAGGTTGTGGGAGTCTTATTTGCATAAAATCACTGTACCATTATTTCTCAGCCCAACACTATGTGAGTCTCTGCACTCTGACTGGTGGGCACTAGCTGGAGGGCAGGGATTTGCATAATCACTCTGTGGTTGTTTCCTAAGAACTATACAGTGAATATGCAAATCTGTCTACTCCAAATGGAAATGGAAACGGAAACACTGCACCCCGTGAGAAGCAGAAAGCATCCAGATTGGTGTGGAGGGTTAATGGTGTGCACAGCCTAGACCCTGGCACAAAGGCCCACCTCCTAGCTTTTTTGAAGCAATCCCTTCCCTACCCCTACAGGCGTTGGTCTGGACAGGAAACAGGGCCTTTTTCAAGACACCCCTTCCCCACTAGCCTCTTGTGGGTTGGTTGGCTGCAGAATACAAGCAGCAGGTGCAGCCTATTACTGGTGACTGAACTAGCATGAGGATTCAGGACAGCACAAAGCACTCCCTTGTTGGTCTCCTGCAGGCGTACCCATCCCTGAAGCCCTTGGCCTCCTGGGTTAATGACCTGCTGCAGCGGATTGACTTCCTGCAACGATGGATCACTAAGGGGATCCCGCCTGTGTTCTGGATCAGTGGCTTCTTCTTCCCCCAAGCCTTTCTCACAGGGACGCTGCAGAACTTTGCCAGGAAATCAATCGTCTCCATCGATACCATTGCGTTTGACTTTCAGGTCAGTGTCCTGGGGGAGTTACATTGAATCGGCACTGGCTGGCTCTCCAGCAGTAAGAACCAAACTCAAGGAGAGTAGAGACCCATATCCCTTTGACACCACTGCCTAACAGGTCAGCCACGGAGCACTATAGCTGTGTGCATCACCTAGCCTAGTGCTAACTGTAGACTGCCCTTTGCATACCACTCAGGCTACACTACGTTTAACTGACTTTTGGAAGTTAGGGCTCCAGCGGGGGGGG